GTTAAGGTTGTGGTTAGTGTTTCATTGTGATGGTAAGGATTATGGTTAGGTGTCCTCACTAAGATAGAAGTACATGAAAGTGTGTGTGCGTGTGTGTGGCTGATGTATTTGAACAGATTTATTCAAACAGGCTCAGGTGTGTGGTAACAGTTGAGTGTCGGGGGGCAGTTAGCAGAGCTTTAGGGTATTTAGGGTGGTGGGGGGGCGCCTCTCTGGGGTTAAATGCCCCTCAGATGGTTAAAGTGGGGTCGTGACCCCTCCCTGCAGGAGGTCTGCCGGCCTCAGGATCCTCTGATCCTCGGAGCATTGGTTCAACATCGCAAGATGTGTGTGTTTTCACGATGATGAGACGATGATTTGTTTAGCTGATGAGAGTTTTTACATGATGGGATTTAAATGTTCAGCTTCTGTTGAACTGAAATCTGGGGGAACTTGTGACTGTTTTACAATAAAACATAGGTTTTTATTTTTAGTTGTTTCTTATTGACAGCACCATCAGAGAGTCCAGACAACATCTTTCACTGTTTCTCTTGCACCACGTTGGCCAATTAAAACAAATCATATTTCATCTAATTAGTATAAAAAGGAGCAGACACATAAGCTCAACCTAAACCATTTAAAGGTAGTTTCCAAAACTGAATTTAAAATTTACAAAAAAATAAGTTTGGAAGCATGTTTGTACAATTTCTTTTATATTTAATTACTTTAAGGAGATTTGGTTTCATACAATTTCAACAGTTGGGAGTTGAATGTAGAATATTCTGTAAGGACTTAAACCTACAGTCTGATACATCTGATCCACAGAGCTTCACTGTGTCCACAAATGAAAACATGTCAGTGGTTTCAGTTGTGAGGACAAAATACAAAAGATTCATTCAGTTATTATTTTTTAACAACTGGTGGAACAGGCTGATTTTACTGGTTTATTCTCTTATTTGTTGTAATTTAAAAATGAGGGAGGGGATGATTGACAGTGTATTTATGTATTCATAGTTGTTGAATTCAGTTTTTTTCTCTATTTATTTCAGAGCTGAATTTTTATTAACCGAAGTTATTAATCTGATTTGTTTTATTATTTTTGCTCCAGTGTTTTAATGTGATGCTGAAATTATTAGTCAATTAAAGAACAGAAAATGTATTCACTATTCTAATTATTGATTTATTGTAAAACATTTTAAAGCAAAAAGCAGAAAACATTTCCTGTTTTTCGAGGACAGTGAATTAAATATTTTACGATAACAAAATAGCTAATAATTAAATTAATGAATTGATGAATCAGCCGTTGGTTGCAGCCTCGTCTTTTATCTCTATAGTGGTAAAGATGTGAAATACTTATATATCCGACCTGCAGTACCGTGTTTTGTCCACTGTGTGGGGCTCTGTGTCTGCAGCTAATGTTAAACGTGACCAGTGAATTTATTCTCGGTGTCACAGAACAAAACCGTCTGTTTCACACATGACAGATTCTCCTGTTTATTACAGCAGCAGAATTAATCAACTGATTAAATAGAAAATCTATTAAAAATCCACGTTCGTCTGAATGAAGAGCAGTGACGTCACATCTTCAGTGGAACATGTTCTTTTTAGAACCTTTTGAAATCCTCTTTACAAGTAACATGACAAGTTCCTGCAGATCTTACACCAGGACCATTTGAAAGGTACCAGACAGGGTTCTGCAGTAGATCTTAGGAAGTTCCTGGAGGAAGATTGAGTTGTTTGGCATTTGGAGAAGAAGCAGTTTCTGATAAAATTCAAGGAGTTCCAAGAGAACTGCAGGAAGTTCAGCAAGGTCGCTGGAGCATATCTTGGGTTTCACATATCAGAACAAATTCCAGCAGTCTTGGAGGTTCCAGGGGAGGTGGTGGTGTTCTCCCAGAGGTTCAGGTTCCAGGAGTTGTATCTGAAGAGTCAAGGTGAAGATGGTTGTGATCATTTTTCAGAAGATCCATATGAGGGTTCTGCTGCTCTGAGACTGTTCCATTGGAGGTGTCTGTGCCATTTGGGTTCTTTACTCATCTGTGTGCTTTGGGGGAAGCTCCAGGAATTCCAGGGGGTTCAAAAAAAGGTGAGGATACATTTCAAAGGGTCTTCAGGGTGTAGAGGAGGTGTCTTCAGGGGACGGTCCAGGACTTCTTCAGGGATGTCCAGGGGTTTCACAGGAGTTTTCAGGAGCACTTGAGGTAATTCCAGGTGTTTTGCGGGGGTCAGAAGCATCTAAGATTAAGATTACTTTATTATCACGTTGCATGCAATCCACACACTTAATTACACACAATTTAAATGTATTTTGCTCTCCCTCAGATCACACACACACAACACATGCATCTGTCTGATATTTGGGGAGGATCTGGTGATCATTTTATTTTAGATCCCTTTAGATTTCAGGCCTGTTTTTAGAAGCAAATCAAAGTCCTCCCTACTTGTTTGAATGGACAGTAGAGGATGTTCCACTGAAGGATCTGCAGAGGGATTGTCGGGTGTCCTGTGTCCAGGTTGACTTCAGAACCTTCCTGAGGTTTTCAGGAGCCTCTTTCAAGGAATAATAATTTTAAGGGCCCCTAGAGGCCCCAGCCTGGGCTCCAGGAGCTCATGGAGGAATATGTAGAATATTGAGCTGCGGCAGTGTTTGAATCACTGGAACAGATTCAGGTTCCAATGACTCTGATGCTGTAACAGTTTTTATTTCTCATTTAACTAAACCTGAAATCACAAAATCAGAGACAATCACAAAAACAAAATCAAATCAAATTTGATGAATCTTATTTTGAAAATAAAACGTACCGATGCACACAAGGTGTAAAACGTGATCAAATATGTTCTCCTCATTTTGTTAATTTAATAAACTGCACTGTGTGGTTGTATTTCCATTCAGTCTCATTATAGCATTCTAAGGATAAAAGCACATTCATAATGTCTTTAAGACCGAGGAGCCTGTTGCCGTCTGGTTTCTAATCTGGCCCGTCTTCATCCTTCTCATCTTCGTCTTCATCGCCAACATATTTGCAGCGTCTCATTGACTTTTTCTCTGCCCGCACAGAAATATTTTTTTCCAGGCTTTCCAGACGTTTCAGTTTCCCTGGAGGAAGACAGCGGGGCTAAAGGAGGATAAATATTTAATCAGCGCTGCTCTGGAGTTTCTGCTTAATTAGAGGAATTCTGCTCCCGCCACGAAAATGAAGAAAAATGACAAAATAACATGAGGAGGGCTGATGAGAGCCGACCCCAAAGTATTACTGTTATTATCACTATTACTATTATTACTGTTAGTGGGTGTGAAGGACCGGTTCTGTTTAATATGGACCCAGAATTCAATATACAAAAAACTCAGCTTAGCAATGTGTGCGTGTGTGTGTGTGTGTGCGTGTGTGCGTGTGTGTGTGTGTGTGAGCGCCACATGTCCGTGTCTATAAAATAAAAAAGCGCCAATTTGTGCCAAATGCACGCGCTGCTCGCGTCCTGACGACAGGAGATGATTCCACATGAAACCAGTTCATCCTCCTAATACGTGAGGATACAGATGTTTGTGAGGCTCGTGTGCAGCGGCCCGAGACCACCTCATCTTCATCATCCTCTCCATCCTCTTCTTCATCAGCTCCTCCACCAGCTCATTCCATCAAACTGAGCGGACAGTCAGGTTCGGACTGGCGCTGCGGGTTCGAACAGGTGACAGTGTCCACCTGTCCACACGTGTCCACGTCACTCACATGTCTGTCTCATGAACTCTTTTTGATTTTCTGTAAAACTTTTAACGTCACTGTTTTACAGTGCGCGCGGCCGAACACGCGGAAACCCTTATTTGGTTCGTCTTTTGAAAAAACAAGTACGCAACGCGCGACTTCGACCAATTAGAAGCCGGGGGTGCGACCACCATGCTAATGAGCTGTCCTTATGTGGTGTGTCCCCGCCCCCTGCTGGTCCGGGCCGGTCCCCCGGGAGATCCCGAGCCGCGGACCCGGGAGAAGGAGCTGTCCGCCGGGACAGAGGAGCCATAAAGAGCCGGGGAGGGAGGGGAAGAGATTTCTCGCTGCCCAATCCCCCTTCTCCCCCGGGAGCCGCAGCCTTCCACGGTCCGTCCCTCCCTCTTGTTTGCTAATCATTTCATTTTACTCCTTTTTGAAGCACGGGCTTGTTTTTTTTATCCCACTTTTCATTTTTCCTCAATCCACGGTGGCTCGCCTCCCTCTGATCCCCGGCTCTCCCCGCTCCGCTCTCCCGGCGTCAGACTCTCCGGCTCCCGGCTCCTCTGAGATGCTCTCCCCGCTCTGCGCTCCTCTCTCCGCCCTCTTTTAACTTCACTCTCGGTGCTTTCAAGCCGGGCAGCAGCGAGCAGGGGCTGGGATCTAAAACAAGCCCGGAGAAACCCAGAGGGATCCGGGGCTCTTCTCTGGATCAGGACCCGGTACTTTGGGGAAACTCGCTCGTGTGTCCCCCCCTCACCCCTGCTCCTCCCCTCCTTCCTCCTCATTGCTCCTCTTCTCTCCACCTTAATCCAGGTGGTGCTTTGGCTTTTTTGAGTGGCTGGTACAGGGAGGATTACTCTTCTTCTTTCTTGTTTCTGGTGAAGACAAAGCTCCCAGAAGGACACTTTGATGTTCTCCATCCAGGACAGCCTCCCCCGGGGGGCCCTGACCATGAAGGAGGAGCCGCTCCCCACCGGCATGACCCCGGTCCGCTCCTGGATGCAGGGCGCAGGGATTTTGGACGCGAACACAGCGGCCCAGAGGTAAAATATCACCCCGACACCGCAGCTCGTCACCGGGTCGCTCTGCGGGACCCGTCGCTTGATTAATGGCTCAGTTAGAAAACTCCGGTGTGAAGATGAGACATGTTGAGTCCGCGGAGAGAAACCCGAGTTAAAGTTAAACAGCTCCGCACATTCAGTGACGGTGAAGAACCCACACCTCAAACTTGGCTGAAGCATCATCAGCTCCATGTGATCGTCTGTGATCAGCCAAATAACGAAACGTTAAGTAAAGACCCAGAGTGCATCGCGGTGTGAAACATTAGAACCTGCGGCTCCAGCGCTGAGCGGCAGCTCCGTCCTCTCTGCGGCGGGTTCACCTCCTCCAGCGGCCCGGGGCCGGGCTCCGAACCCCCGCTCCACCTCCACGTGTGTTGACTGAAATAAAGTTTTCTTCTCCCGCAGCAGATTCTTTTTCCGAGCCCTGCGCGATGTGCGGTGCCGCGCGTGAAGCGCGCAGAGAGGCGCGAGGCTGCGGCCGCCGCACGCGCCAGCTCTGCGGGATCGAACGTTTATTTCTAAATGAACCGAAGTGATCAGCTCCGGTTCATGACTCTGATCTTCACACCGCAAATATTAGATTTAAACACGTTCTTCTGACAAACGTTTTATTATTGATCAGAGTCATGGAGGAAATTTAACTGGGTCACAGGTTCAATTAAAATTCACTTCTGCATCTTCTCACGTGCGCGAGAAAATAAAAGTCCGTGTTTGAGATTCACCTCGAAATGTACCAATTTCCTTGTTTTTTATTAATCCATAAATTCAAATCTTTTTGTGAAGCTTTGCACAATTTATAAAATATACGTGTTCGATCCAGAAAAGTCTCTGAACCTGAGAAATAAGAAGCAGCAGCGGGTTAATTCTAAAGATTAAATAAAGCGGGTCATTCAGAGTTTTCGCTGGTTTGTGAGTTTTTCTTTTCATCTGAGCTGAAGTGAAATTTGACTCAAACGGATCGATGCGGGATTTTCAGCATCGATTTGAAATCATCTGGAAAAAAATCCATCAACACCGAAATGAAACCATGACAAAAACTTGAATCCAGTGGATTTTAAAAACGTGTCGAGGCTCGTTTAGTGAATTAAATGTGTTCAACCTGCAGCAGCGTCAACAGAGACAGATCCGGTCCATGTCCATCAGTGTAAAGACACGGGACAGATCCAGTTCACATGTGAGCAACGCGCTGCTGCAGCCGTAGATTTACTACAATTAATCCTCCCAATCAACCTGTTCACAACATATTAAATAAATACAATGTCCCTCACAGCTTCCTGTAGACCACATGTTGAAATGTCTTTTTGTCCAAACAGTTTGAAATTTAATCTAAATCTAAAATTGTGAAGTTTAAAATCACAGAAGACAAAGATAAAAAAAAAAAATGTTTTAAAACGATTAAAAAATAATTAATAGATTCTATAAAAATAGTCAGGTATTTTTGTATCAATTAACTAATTGATCATTCAGCTAAATTGTTATTAAATATAAAATCATGAGTTTTTGGTGCATTGTGTTTGATATTTAATATAAATGCTGATGAACAGGTTCATGTGTTGTGAATGTAACGTCTGTTCACACTTACATCTGTGTCACACTTCATTACGTATAACACGTCAGGTCAAGTTTATTAATGCTGCCTAAAATCACAGAAGTGTCTCAGGGGACTGAAACATCTCCAGAGCTTTGAGCAGAGAAACAGGGACAGAATGTGAGAAAGAAAGAAAAGAGACGAAGAACAGAACATTTACAATCTGAACACAACATCCTCTGTCCTCTCCGTCTTCGTTCAGGGACATGAACAGATTCAGAAAACTGTAAAACTCCAGTCTGGAGATTCACCAAACCGTCCGACCCCAACCAGAAGCAAGTAAAAATGTGTTTTTGGTCTGAAATGTAGAGAAAAACCTGATTGTAGGAGGCTGAGCGTCATGTAAATGAAGCAGAGCAGACTCTGAATTTAACATCTGGTTTGAGCATATTTGAAATCGTCATTATTCAACCCTCACAAACACGCTGCCTGTGAAAACTCCACTTGAGTTAAAGAGCGCGATGTGAATCAGCAGCTCTGACCCTGAAGAGGCGAGAGAGCGAAGTCTCACATCGGTTCTGTGAGGTTCTGTAGAATCAGGGTTTTTGTTCGCTTCATGTTGTGTCTGCAGATTTGTGGTGTTTGTGGACAGATGAGTGTGTGTGTGTGTGTGTGCGTGTTTTAAATCCTTTGTGTTTGAGACCAAAATCAAATTTGTACAAATTTACCTCTGAAGAATGTGGAGTGTGGCGACAAGTTCAGAGCCTCAGTACCGACGAGGAGCAGATGTGTGTGTGTGTGAACATGTAAAAGATCTACAAAAAGAAGGGATGAAATGATGTGAATGTTCAGAAGGTAAATTTAATCCTGACGTGTGTTTAACATGTTAGATACTAACCCTCACTGGTGATGGTGACGATGAAGGTGATAATGATGATGACGGTGATTTCCACGGCCTCTGTCTGCCGATCACTGTACGTTTTCTTCTGAAAGTTTCACTGAACATGTTTTTGATTTGACACCAATTTAAATCACTAAATTGTCCTTGGAGGGTTTTTAACAATCTGTCTGGTGAGGAGATCTGTTCTCTTGTTTTCTGTCGTTTTGTTGTTGGACTGAGTACGAGCGTGTGTTGTTCTCTGTCACTTTTATTAATTCACCTCTGAAATTTACGGAAACCTCAGATATAGAATGAGCAGAGACGATCCGACAAACTGTCCACGCGCCTTCTGTCCGTCAACCTTTGTCAGGCGTCAGAATTACAACATGGTCCAAAAACATGTTCACCAGAAGCCACAGGACACTGTGACGTGATAAATAAAGGACATGAAGTAGCAGGAAAATTAATGAAATGTTTACAGAGTTAAGAATCAAAAACAGACGAGCAGCAGATATAAACACTTGATTTTCATATCTCAGACTCAGGGAGACAACACGAGAGCTTCACTGAGGTGGTCTGCTGCTGTGGGGGGGCAGAGTGTCCACGATGCACTGTGGAGCTCTACAAGAAAATGAATTGTGACATGAACAGGAAGTCAGTGCAGATGTTGGTGTCACCAGATGTGTTGGTTTGTGTCTGAAGGTTTTGTGAATGTTGTGAGGACGTCAGGTGCAGAGAGAATCACTGCCGACACAAACTCACACATCAACATCTTGAACCTGAGTCAAGTCCAGTTTGTTTCTGAGGTGAAAGAACATTTCACCGGCTGGATGAAATTATTATCCTCATGATGACAAGATGGAAACCAGTAGAATAAAATATAAAATGTATAAAAAGAGTCTGATAATTAAAACTAAAACAAATTTTTTTTTATCAATAAGTGATAAAGGAAATGTAATTTAGCACATTTCAAGTTAAATGTTTCAGATGGTTCAACATGTAGAGCAGCTGAGGCAGAAACAGGATTATAACCTGGTGGAAGAGAATAGTGACAAGTTAAAGTGTGTGTGTGTGTGTGTGTGTTTAACTGGCTGCATATGGACACGCACCGTCACATCTGTAAGACATCAACAGGATTACAGCGCTGACAGAGCGGGGCTGTGTTCACAAACCAACACTTTGTCTCCAGTTGATTCTTTAACTAATCTCCTCATTCGAGTGCTCAGACAATCTGAGAGGCAACAACACACCCAGTTATTGATCAGTGATCGAAACCCGATCAGACTGATCAAGAGGAAATCTGCACCAACGCAGAGCTGGGATTAAAAACATGATGACAATTTTTAATGTTTGTTTCTCAATAATTCAACTCACTGAGGTTGTTTTTGGTGTTTTAACAAACCGATCACCTGATCTCAGATCAGTCCAGTGAGGAGATCCTGTCTTTATAGACTCAAACTATTCTGTCTCTAACTCTGCTGCGTGAAACGGATGAAAAGCTGATATTTGTCCATTTTTTAATAACGTTAATAATCAAAGTGACGGAGATGAATCCTGACGCTTTAAAGATGAACAACTTTTAGTCTCTAACACAGTTTGTGCTGGAACCACATTAAATAAAAATAGGTCCAACATTTTGGGCGTAAATGTAAAATAAAAAGACGCTCAGAAGAAAACCCGTCGTCGTCAGTGTTTTGTCGTGTTGCAGCACGACCCTAACCTAACCCCCCCCCTCCCCGAAGAACACATTTATACTAAACACACGTAGTGATGTGTGGGAACCTGAAGACAGAGCCTGACACTTTAATGTGAATGTATTTAAGGGATTTACCTCATATTTAAGATTACGCCTTAAATTCACTGATTTAATGGTTTATTATAAAACTGTTGTTTTATGTCTCAGTTGGATGATTGTGTGTGTGTGTGTGTGTGTGTGTGTGTGTGTGTGTGTGTGTGTG